GTCTTCTGCTTCCCTGCGATTCTGTGATTTATTGCATAAAGAGGAAGAAATTAATAGCGAATCGAGCTGTTTGATAAACAAAAGGCCACAATTTACCTGATTAACCAGAGATCTCCAGCAAGCTAATCGTATTTAACTGCTATTTAAATAACCTTCCTCAGTGTAGGTATCTAATCCTCATGAGATTAGAACTGATGAGACAATCACTACCTTCCTCATCCATATCCAGCTTCCTCCCCAGCTTGCCCCCCTCCAGCTCAGAGGCATGCAAAAGATAGAAGTACCTCTTCCTAAACAATTAACCATTTCCTCTTTAACATATTAGAAAATCCTTTTATAGGAAAATAGAACGCAAAGTGGTGGTAAAACAAACAGGAAAATAATAGGCTTGATTCCCATAAAATTCCTTTGCTGGGGAAAAAAAGCCTAAAAGCACCCTAATTCCAGCCTCGCATCAATAGAGTAAGTACATTGATACTTCTGAGCTATGTCTCTAACTATATGTGTCTTCTCAATAAGAGAATGTAGACTTGCACTCATAAATGTGCTTCTATCAGTGTATCTACACCAGACGCGGGCAAACTTTGTCCCTCCAGGTGTTTTGGACTGCAACACCCACAAATCCTAACAGCCGGTAGGCTGTTAGGAATTGTGGGCGTTGCAGTCCAAAACACCTGGAGGGACAAAGTTTGCCCATGCCTGATCTACACCATTGGTAAACATGCAGAAGTATCCATGTACTTATTCTGCTGATACAGGACTGGAATTAAGGTGCATTAATTCTACAGTGTAGAGGCACCCCTCATCTGTACTAAGGTTTTTTCCCCATACACAGTTATAGTGCTCTGATTCCACTTCACCTGCCGTGGCAACATGTTATGGAATAGTTTAAGGAGGTGCCGAGGATTCTCAGCTAGGGAATGCCTTCTCAACCAAGAGGCTAAACGTTGCGTTGTTCAGTATTGGGCAAGAATAGAAAGATCGCTTGCATTCATGAAGCCAGATATTACTGTATGATGTCACCCATGATGCAGCAGTGCCTCGTGTGTGGCTGGATGCTTGTGCTGATTCACTGATTCAGTCTGGCCTACTTAATCTGGCTCTGACATGTTATATTCAGTCAACTGAACACATGCCATTTATTGAAAAGCTGCAGGAAAAAACCTCTTGTTTGAGTTGTAACATGGCTTGACTAAAACTTTGTGTTTATCTTGCCATAAATCTTCCTGAAGATTTAGTATAATGAGATTTCAGAGCTGCTGTACTTGCTGACCGAAAGGTTGCAGGTTCGAATCTGGGCAGCGTTGTGAGCTCCCACTGTTAGTCCCAGTTTCTGCCAACCTAGCAGTTTGAAAACATGCAAATGTGAGTAGATCAATAGGTACCGCTCTGGCAGGAATGTAATGATGTGCCATGCAGTCATGCTGGCCACATGACCTTGGAAGTGTATATGGACAACACTGGTTCTTCGGTTTAGAAATGGATGAGCACCAACCTCCAGAGTTGGACACAACTAGACTTAATGTCGGGGGAAACCTTTATCTTTGCCTTTACCTTATTTCAATAATATAGAACTGATCTGATCCAGACACGTTAGGGGTGTGCGTTTTCTAGCCACTCCCTGCTTATAATCCACATCATTCTGGATTTTACAGTTTGTGTAAATGGGGACTCAATAGAATAAATACAAAACCACTCTTTCCCCCATCACTACCACAACACTGCCTAAAGTACTTCTAAAGTTTCAAACATTTTAGCCTGCCACTACTAAGCAAAGAAACAGAAACACAATCTCTGAGCTCACCTTGTAATCAACTTGTTACTACACAAATTACAATTACAGTCCTAGGAGGTTCCTGTCTCTTGAAATTAGTGTCATGTTACTCTAGTTAAAGAGACAGGAAACCCCTAGGACATTTTATTTTATTTTATGACTGGTATCCCTTTGCTCTATTCTCAGAATCAGAATACTTCAAGAGAACACATTTTCCTTTGGCAAGTGACTCTCTATAATGCTGAAATTAGTGTTAATCTGAGCAATCACTGTAGGAAATTAGTCATAACATTTCCAGTCAGACAGGTCATTGTGGCTTACTGAACAAGAAAGTGAGCCATGAAATCCCCATGTAGCCAGTTCAGTGACTATACATTGCATCAGAACTCTTACGAAAAGCCATGTTCAGCTCCACTTTACCCCACTTTTCAGGTTTTTGTGGAGGAAGAAAAAAGGTTTTATGCCTTAGTTTCCTACTGCAGGAAATACATGTTTTGACACACTTTTATCCAACACTCTTTTTTCCCATTGAAGACATTTTTAGGCTGGATCTACACTGTCATATATTGCAGTTTCAGAACGTGGATTAACTACATTAAACTGGATTATACAAGTCGATACTGCTATATAATCCAAGTCAATGCAGCTAATCCATGTTCTGAAACTACACTATATGGCAGTGTAGATCCAGCCTTAATGTTTCCGTATTGTAATATCATCTGAGAGAAAGTACGTTTTTAAGTTTTGCAGAGAAGCATTACAGGTGATCCCTCTTACATCACATAGTCTTTTGTTCCATTATTTCCTATTTCCTTCACCTATGAATATATTTGCCAATTTAAGAGAACACTTTTACTCATGATTTTAAGCCATAACAATACATAACAAAACAATTACAATGCAATGTGTCAAGAGACTGGTATTAGCCAGACTGGGTTGGTATGAGTTTTCTGGGCTGTATGGCCATGTTCCAGAAGCATTCTCTCCTGAAGTTTCATCCACATCTATGGCAGGCATCCTCAGAGGTTGAGGGGTCTGTTGGAAACTAGGCAAGTGAGGTTTATATATCTGTGAAATGTCGAGAGTGGGAGAAAGAACTTTTGTCTGCTTGAGGCAAGTGCAAATGTTGCAATTGACCACTTTTATTAGCACTGAATAGCCTTGCAGCTTCAAATCCTGGATGCTTCCTGCCTGGGGAAATCCTTTGTTGGGATGTGTTAACTGGCTCTGGTTGTTTCATAACAGACCTCACAATCTTTGAGGATGCTTATCATAGATGTAGGTGAAACATCAGGAGAGAATGCTTCTGAAATATGGCCATACAGCCCAGAAAGCTCACAGCAACCCAGTGATTCCAGTCATGAAAGCCTTTGACAGCTCATTAGCCAAAGTCTTCATCACCCTACTTCAGTCACTGGATTTTAGGCTTTTTCAGATGTTATTGTTTTCTATATGTAATCCATTGCCTCCTTTTCTCTTATTGGGGAAAATCCAGAAAGAAAGAAAAATCAGAATAGCTGCAGAATTCAAATAATTCACATGAAGAGTCCCCTGGCTGGACATGTCATAGGTAGAACAACTGGGTTAAATCTGCTGCTGCAAAAACAATAGCAAGTCTGTAGCATCTTGATACATTCATCCAGCAGTTTTGAAACTATGTTCTATAGAACCCCATTATTATTATTATTATTATTATTATTATTATTATTATTATTATGTTTATTTATACGCTTTTTCTCTCTACAAAAGATACTGGAAGTGGTTTACAGTAAAAACAGTGCAATACAATTTAAAATCTAAAAATATACAGTACGAACATTCAAATAGTATTAAATATTAATGGTATTAAAACGGAACAGTTAAAATCCTTAAAATTGATTAAAAACCTATTCATGACCAAAACCACATCATCCCTTGACTTGATCTTAAAACCTCCCAGGATTCCACAAAAGGGTTCTGTGAAAAATCTATAAAATATTTTTAAATCTTTTAAAAAACCATGCCAGAGCATGATTATCTTATTGAAATTCAATGTACCTCTGTGTTAAAAATGAAATTTGAATCTGTGCCACAGAATGACCATTGGGTAGGACTGATAGACATATATACCTGTTATTAATGAGAAAGGCATTTGCATTCTATTGCCACTGTATATTGATCTTTGTACCCTGTCTTTTGGTGTCTGTATTTCATAGTGGTGTATTCATAGTGTATTTCATAGTTGTGTATTTTATGTTGATGTGATTTGACGGTGTTATATCCCTGCCTTAAGCTTGAGGAGAGATGGGTAAAAAATAAAAATTATTATTGTTATTGTTATTACTACACTATGCAACACAATTTTTGTTCCTAGGTTATATGTGTCATTTCCTAAATGTTTCTATCATAAAAACATGGAAAACGTTTATTAAACTGCATCAACTTTGTTTTTGCAGGACAACCTGCAGCACATTTTTCTATAGTTTTTCAATGAATACCTTATCAAGTCTCAACCAATTCAAAATAGTTTGTGGCAGCAACACAAATGAAGTTGATGGAGTAGAACAACCACTTTCAAAGTAAGTACTGCACAATTAAACAGAAAATAACACTTTCAAACCAGGAACAGATTCCCCCCCCCCCAAAAAAAATTTTTTTTGTTACATTTTGTCAGGCAGAAGAGGTCTGCATCAATCTCTTTTCGAAACAAACAAGGCAGCAGACTGAGAGCCCTTCCGCACAGGTCCCTTCCACACAGCTGAATAAAATCCCACATTATCTGCTTTGAACTGGAATATATGTCAATGTAGACTCGGATAACCCAGCTCAAAACAGATATTCTGGGATATAGGGCTGTGTGGAAGGACTCCCAGAATATCAAGGCAGAAAATCCCACATTATCTTAGTGTGGACTCGGATAACCCAGTTCAAACCAGATATTGTGAGATTTTCTGCCTTGATATTTTGGGATATAGGGCTGTGTGGAAGGGCCCATAGTTTCTGAGTCCACACTGCCATATATTCCAGTTCAGTTGTATGGAAGGGGCCTCGATCTCCTCTGGATAGATAATGTGAATACTGAAAGATCCTGCTGGGAGATGTAAAAGCCTTGCATTGATGGAGAGGCTTTATTTATAAGGACGCCAGGCGACTAACTGCAGTGACCCTCCAAGTCCCAAACCCTGCGGAAGATGGCCAGTAGCCTTTCTCTTGGCGGCCACGAGGGTCTGAGGCGCCTGTTGCCGGGAGGAAGGACTTCCGCGGCGCACCGGCAGCTACAGTTTCCATGGCAACGAGGCCTTCTCTGGAGTGACGAATATTCACGGCAAGGGTAGGGCGGTACTTTCCCAAATTCAACCTTGTTTCTCTTGTGGAGCACCCTTCCCACGTGAAAATGTTTAATCGTGGTCGAATACAGTATAGCACAGAGGAGAAACTGCTTCTTCCTGCTTCCCGGGGAGCCACGTGCGTGGCCGAGTCTCGGGATCCGGAGGGAAGGAGGTGGACCCAGTTTCTGGTTGTCCCTGCTGAGTGAACAATTGCTGTCCTAAGCTGGCTAGAACGTGGGCCCCTTCCACACAGCAGAACAAAACCCCACATTTTCTGCTTCCATCTGGGGTATATGGCAGCGTGGACTCAGATAACCCAGTTCAAAGCAGATATTATGAGATTTTTTGGCCTTGATATTCTGGGTTATATGGCTGTGTGGAAGAGCCCTAAGTGTGCATGACATGCGAAGAAATCCCTTTGAGTATAGAGTGAGACTTGTATGCTAATGATACTTGTTTTGTTTATTATTGTGCCTGCTTTCTTCCCCATTTCTGTGCATTGTATCCAAGTGTGTCCTTTGAAACTTTGCTGGCAACACAGGGCCCTTTCACACAGCCCTATATCCCAGGCTATCAAGGCAGAAAACCCCACATCATCTAAGTGTGGACTCAGATAACCCAGTTCAAAGCAGGTACTGGGAATTTTCTGCCTTGATAGCCTGGGATATAGGGCTTTGTGGAAAGGCCCACAGCCCTTGCCTTCGTTATGCAGTCATCAGGTAGTAAATGTGTCAGAGGACATCTGAGGAGGAGACAACTCTTGGAAAGTTGGACTTCAAATATCACGGAGCTGTTTGCATGAGGTAAATGTCACAAATGTCCCATGGCAACACAATCACAGTATTGTGGATGGATATGAACTTGTGGACCTCGGGATACAGGCTTTATCTCTGAAGAATTGAAAGAAAGATAACTTCAGTTTTTCTTTCATCATTGCATCTGTATAGTAACAGGTGATGTGCTCCGTGTGCCTTCAAGTTGCTGGTTGACTTAGGCTCTTCCACACAGCCATATAACCCAGAATATCAAGGCAAAAAAATCCCACAATATCTGCTTTAAACTGGGTTATCTGAGTCCACACTGCCATATATTCCAGTTCAAACCAGAAAATGTGGGATTTTATTCAGCTGTGTGGAAGGGGCCTTAGAATCATTGACTCGTAGAGCTGGTGGCGCAGTGGGTTCAACCCCTGTGCCGGCAGGACTGAAGACTGACAGGTCGCAGGTTCGAATCCGGGGAGAGGCTGATGAGCTCCCTCTATCAGCTCCAGCTCTTCATGCGGGGACATGAGAGAAGCCTCCCACAAGGATGATCAAATCATCAAATCATCCAGGCGTCCCCTGGGCAACGTCCGTGCAGATGGCCAATTCTCTCACACCAGAAGCGACTTGCTCCTGAAACGACCAAAAAAAAAAAAATAGAGCTGGAAGAGATCACATGGGTCATACAGTCCAAGCCTTTGCCCTGCAGGAAAAGCTCGATCACAGCACCGCTGACAGATGACCACCCAGCCTCTGCTTTAAAGCCTCCAAAGGAGGAGTTTCACCACAGTCCGAGGCAGAGAGTTCTACTGCTGAACAACTCATACAGTCAGGAAGTTCTTCCTGATGTTCAGGTGGAATTTCCTTTTCTGTAATTTGAACCCATTGCTCGGAGTCCTAGGGCCCTTCCACACAGCCCTATATCCCAGAATATCAAGGCAGAAAATACCACAATATCTGCTTTGAACTGGGTTATCTGAGTCCACACTCAGATAATATGGGATTTCCTGCCTTGATTTTCTGGGACATAGGGCTGTGTGGAAGGGCCCCTAGTCTCTAGGACTGCAGAAAATTAGCCTGCTCCCTCTTATTTATGACTCCCTTACTTATACATGGTGATCACTTCTCCTCTCAACCTTTTCTTTTGCAGACTTATGGCAACCCCACAGCATGTGCTTTTTTACTAACATTTTATTAAAAGATTGGTTGTGATCCTATATAAGACTGAACATTGGAGTTTTGGTAGTTACAACTTGATGCAGGGCAAGCGATTCCTGCCAAAAGTGCCTTTTCTACATAATCATTATAGGTATATAGCCATGCATCCTTTTTCCATCTGGAGCCCTAACATATGTTTGTCTCAGTCCCGCTGCCCTCCTTTCTTTGCCCCTCAATTATATCTACATAAATAATTTATTTGAAGCATTAAAGATTAGATAAATGTATAATTTCAGAAGGAAATTAAAAACATGGATATGGGACCAAGTCTTTGGGTAATCTGGCAAAATGGACAATGACGACTGAAGCTTTGGAAACGGACTATGATAAACGGAATGAATTTATTAATTATGGACTTGGCAAAACGATGGCCACCAGGCTGGCTTTTTATTGTATTTTTATTGTATTAATGTAATGTTTTAATTGTTATAACTATTGTTACTATGTATTTTATTGTGTGAATTGTAGGCATCAACATGTGCCGATTGGTAGCCGCCCTGAGTCCCCCTTAGGGGGTTGAGAAGAGTGGGGTAGAAGTACCCGAAATAAATAAATAAATACATAAATAAAGGAAAAAGAAACTAAATATTGTAAAAATAAATTGCTGGCTTTAAAAACGATATTAATTATGAGTACAATTAGCCTTGTATATTACATATATTAGTGTTTCCTTTGACCACAAAACAGTAACAAAAGAAGAACATATACTTAACAAACATGATTCTTATTTTAGAAGGGAAGGCGGTAAAAAAACTGGGACTGACTGTCCCAGTTTTAATCTCCAAGGACCATTAGAAAGGTCTTGACTAAAATTAACTAGGGAGGCATGTGGCAACAACCTTTAAAAATAAAGCACTCACCAGTCTTCTGATAATACTTCTGTTCTATTTAATGGAGTGAAAAGCAAGATCAGTGCTTGCAATAATTGGAGCTAGACTGCATTATTGCTCTACTTTCCCTTGAAATCAGTGGAATTTAAAGCTATTATTAAGATAGTTAACTGATTTCAAATGGATTGAAGTTCAGTTGATTCTCAGCACAATGTGTTACATATGTAGTATAACGGATTCAGTTTTGTTTACTCCTCAATACATGGTTGCAGGAATTATGATAAAAAGTAGACCATATGTTCCTATTTTTACTAGTGGCGGGAAATATACAGACAGTCCCCGAATTACCAACATCCGACTTACAAATGACTCATAGTTAAGAACAGGGGTTAGACAACAGGGAAGTGAGAGAAATCTATCCCTAAGAAGGGAAATTTACTCTGGAAAGAGTTATCATAGGGAAGAGGTATCTCCATTGAAGCTTTATCCCCAATCCTTATTTCCACAACAAGCCACATTTTTCAAAATCCAAATATCACAGGGACAAAAAGTGAGATGAAATCTTCTGAACAGAGACACAGATAGCAAACCAAACTCCACAGGGGTGTTAACCTTTCCCTATGCTATCCAAAGATTTTATATAAAGGAGGGGGGGGGGGGCTGGAGTTATACTTAAAATGTACCTGTTCTGACTTAAATACAATTTCAACTTAAGAACAAACATACAGAACCTATCTTGTTCGTAACTTGGGGACTGTCTGTATCTTCATAAAGATACAGGGTGAGGCAGCATGACTTCCTTTTTTCAAAACTTAATAAAACCCATTGTATGAATCAGAATTTTTTTTATAATGTAGGCGCATACCTAACGTTTTGTTCTACGTAGTTTTGAAGATCAAATTAGGTAGGTGACGTCCCCCATTCTCCATTCTCCATACACTGAGTAAACCGATTTCTGGTGTTTGTCATGACTCTTGCCAGTATAGCAGGTGTTATGTTGGCAATTTCTTCCTGGATGTTGGTCTTCAAATCTTGTAGGGTCCTTGGACGGTTCACATAAACATGGGATTTCAAAAAACCCCATAGAAAAAGATCACAAGTGGCCAAATCTGGAGAGCGGTCCAGCCACTCCAAATCCGCTCGAAAAGTAGGCCTCAATGGCAAAAGCACACTCCTCACTGTTCCAAAGCATGATGGCGACTGAACTGTGTCAGGACAAAACTTTATACTCCCGCCTCTCGAACGAGACCACTAGCACTCCGCTACGCCTTCAACCGACTGAATGGTGCGCATTTAAAAAAAGGAAGTTATGCTGCCTCACCCTGTATTTTAAAAATTGCATACAAATCAATTTAAAACAAAATAAACAACATTAAAGAATTGCAAGAAAAAAAGGACTATATGTACAAAATGTATATAACTGAAACTGAACTTCACTATATTAATATTATAGCACACTACTAAAGCACAGATCTATTATACAGGATATTTAATAACACATAACAAAAACACAAAAGAACTCTGGTCTGTCCTCACTAATTGTAATGAAGGGGGAAAAACCCAATAAACATTTCGGACATTATTTTCTTTCACATTACTGGCCAAGGTGAATTTTATATAATTATTCACATTTTCCCCAACATCCATTTATACTTTTGGGGAAAATTTTGTACCCGTTGTATCATACTTTTTTTTTTTACAGATTCATCATCTTCCTCTAATTTCAAAATATATTTGTGCACTTTTTATTTATATGGTAATAATTTTCCAGATCCAAGTAAAAATAATTTCCCCCTCCTTCTTGACAAAGTTTATCTTATCTTGTTTAAACCTCTCTTTAAGTTGCAAAGAAGCAGTTCAGTTGAGATCTTTTCCCTCTTCACAAAGTTTTCCTTTTGGTTTAAGGAGCTCTCTGTTGCTTTGTTTCTTATATAAAAGACAGTTACAATGTAACCATTTCTGCTTTTTAGCCCATTATCTCTAGGAAAAAGCTTTGTGCATTGAGGTAACTACTAATAGTATATTAGGAAAAACATTGCTTATACTAACTGCAGGGAAATCTTTCTGATTACGTAGTTTTTGAATCCAGCCTGTATTTCGCTTTGTCATACTAGAGGAAAGCCAATAAAGACAGATTTTTAAAAGATGCATATTTTAGCTGACAATGCTTATGATTTTGATTCTGACACACAACCTTGTGTACCATATTTAGAATTACAGTAGGCTAAATGTATAGAAAAGTGGAAACAAGCAGAACAAACAGGGACATTGTTTTTCTCTAACATGGTATAGATTTGGAGGATAATGCTTTTCCACATTTTATTTCTTTTCTAGTCAGAGTTTCTTTTGCTGGATGTTTGCCTGTCATACAATAGAAGCCGTTTTAGGAAAAAAAGTTGAAATTCTCCTCAGTACTGAGTTACAGTGTACTTAAGTTGCAGTTCTGTATAAAACAACATGGAAGTAGGACCCATTGCTTCCGTTAGAACATCTCATCAAAGGAACATACATTTGTTTGGTAAGTAAATAAATGCATGGTCTTCGCTCTGCTTAAGTAGGTTTTTTTTAAACTTTTACTTTTATCTAATAAAAGTATTTTATTGTAGTTAATATTTCTTCCTTAGATAGCACAGATCTCTAATGCTGATTTGGCTATTTAAATTTTTTAACATTACAACAGAAGAAGAAAAAAACAGTGCGACCAAGTTGTTTGTGTTATATTTGGATTAGTGACTGGCAAATATCACAATAAATTTTGATACCTTTTTTCACTCTAGTGAAGAGAGCTGTTACAATAGATCTCATTGTGAGTAAAAAATAACTTGTTGAGAAAAAATATTTGCACTTGCAATGTACAAATATTGTAAAAGTCCTGTACTGCTAGAAAGTCCTATCCTGCTAGAAAAGGGGTGAGCAAAATGTGGCCCTACAGGGTTTGTCAAGTGGCAGTTCCTTGCAGCCTTAGTCAGCATAGCTGATGGTGAGGAATGTCAGTATTTGTAATCCGTAATCTGAATGATCACATTTTTTCACTTTTGCCTATAATGTTCTGGTGGAATTTTTTCCTGTTGGACTATGTGCCCAGAGGCCCACTTGGCCATGGAAACCCACTGCACAACTTCTGTCAAGAAAATCTTGTGATAGGTTTGCCTTAATGTGCAGTGGCAATTACTTGAAGACACACAACAACAATGAGACTGTTGCATACATAAAAGAAGAGAAGAACTTGTTTTTTAAAATCAGGTTTTGATCTACAGCAATTTTTACAATCTTCAGATAGAAATTCTATATGAATTTATGGGTTACTTAAATTAGAATCCTCTACATCATAGTACACTAGAATAAGGATAAATCCAATGTTGTACATATCCTACAAATACATTGTTAAACCAAATATTGGAAGTCAATATTACTCATCCATCCACCTTTGGTGGGGAAGTGGAAAGGATCCATGCTGCTTTCCTCAATGTTGTACTTCTGTTATAGGGCTGACATTTTCTAAACATTCAAATTGCAATATCCCCTCCAAAAAACACTTTGGCATTGAGACCTTTGTGTATTGTAGTTATAGTTATTTATGCCACTGAGTGCTCTTTCCTTGTACAGCTCAATAGCTCTTTAAATTAAAACAGCCACTAATTAGTTATCATGTGCAAGGTTACATGCTATATTTTAAATGTTTATCCGGATTATGATTTTTTAAAAAAACTTGTTTGCAGTTTTCAAAGTCCTTGTTATCCCCCCTTTCTTGCTCTCTCTCTCTCTTTCTCTTGGTCTCTCTCTCACACACACACACTGATTTTAAATGAATGGTATTCTTATCTTCCCAACAGCAAAGCTATCCAGTCTTCCATTAGTAGGGAAATAATACAGTGCTGGTACTAGATGCCATTTAGAAGAAATTGTTACATCTGTACCTTAAGCAAGTATGTAAACTGCTGTGTTGTTGCTGTAGCCAACTTTATCAGACTCTTGGACTTGGGGGAAAAACCCTCCCTTGCCTTTGAAAAGATTAAAGAGTTGAATTGGAAACAGAAGGTTGTCTGATTTATTTGTTCCCTGTGGATTTTACAGATGGGATAATCTGTCATAAATAACACACAAAAAACCCCATTCTGCAAGGGAAGCTCAAATGAGATGTGCAGAAGCCAAATCAATTTGGGCACCACTAAAACAGTAGAAATCTTCAATAGTCTGACTGAAATCAAAATATGGACAAAGAAGCAAATGGAGAAATAATTTGGTGTCAGCTCTTTTTCTCTTGGTGGACATTAACCCCACTCAGTCTCGATGCAGCATTTATGTGTCTGTGCAAGGGAGGCACGTCTTAAGGAGGATGGACAGTGCAACGAAAGTAAGGGGGAAGTCCCTCAACTAGGATGGCTCTTAAGCCACAACACTGAAAATGAAGCAGTTGTATGTCATTTAAGAGAATTAACCTTTTTCAGTGAATAAAATATATTTGCTGTTTTGAAGTTAGATATGCATAGTTTAAAAACATGCAAGTAATGTGAATATAAAGACAGCGAGCCTAAGGGAGGCAAGTTTTATTCTGCTGTTATTGTAACCATTCCTTGTAAACATAGGCATTCAGGGGTCATCTCAGAATAAGAAAGCATTAAAAAGGGACTGATAACAGCACGTCATGATTACTGGAGGAAATTCTGTGTTATTAGTCTACGTTAGTGATTTAGTAGAACTGTGGAGTTAGAAACATATGCAATTAAATGTTGCATAATTTAGATGTTGGTCTTGTGGGATTTGGGATTTGCTTGGTTTGTTTATTGTATTTGTGTTTATTGTTTTTCAAAGCACTGAATGTTTGACTTTTGGCGGTTGGAATCCACCCTGAGTCTCCTTGCGGAGATAGGGTGGAATATAAATAACGTTTATTTATTTATTTATTTATTTATTTATTTATAGACTATTATAAAGACTGCATTTTGAGCTACATTTATTGTTCTCAAATGTGTGTTTGACATACATTTTTAAAATGTGGATTAGACTTCCATAGTCCTAAAGTAATTGGAATATGTAACAAGAGTTGCTTTATCTTGAATGATGACTATGAAGGAAAGAAATATAAAGAACTTCATCTTATATGTTTTAGGCCCCTTCTACACTGTTCTATTTATTCTTCGTGTCGTCCGTGAAATGCGCACCTATGGGTTCTTCCTTGCGCATGCGCAGAAACTCGGAACATTTCTAGTTAAAATGAATTAAAAATGATTATTTTGAGCCATATAGGCTCCGCCCATCTCCCCGACCCCCGGATATATGCGCCGAGCGGCGCCGCCATTATCTAGTTCCTTTTTCCGCGCTAAACTAGCAGCATCTCGGAACAGCTTCTCCTTGATTCTTTCATAACTTGGACTGAACTTTTGGACTGATTTTTTGACTGACCGCCTACCTCTCTCCAACCCTTGACTCGGACCGACTGACTACTCTCCTCTTCACCCTCAGGCTAGGATGTCTTCCCTCTATTTCAAAAATTGCTCAGCTTGCGGGGCCACCCTCCCCGAAGCTGATAGGCATTCAAAATGCCTCCTTTGCTTGGGGGAATCCCACAATCTCCAATCCTGCGAGATTTGCCTTAATTTTACTACAAGGGCTCGCAAAACAAGAGATGCCCGTTTAAAAGCTTTACTTTACGAGCGCGCTCTGGCTCCACAATCCCTCCCTACCCCCTCCCTATCCCCTTTAATGGAGCCCTCTCAGCCTCCCTCCCCACGCGTTGGGGAAAGGCGTGAATTGGATCAGGCAAACGCTCCCTCTGTGGAGCCGCCTGCAAAAAAGCAAAAATCTTCCAAACAGGCCACGAGGCCTGGGAAAGCGAAAGAGAAACTAAATAAACAAAAAAAGGGACGGCAACTCACTGACTCACAGTCCTTGAGCCCTCCCAGACTGGAACCGATGCTCCACTCCTCCGGTTCTGTGATGCATCTCCAGGAGCCGCTCCCCACCATGCTCCATCTGGATGACCCCTCCCACCTCCCTCCACTCGAGCTCCTCGCCCCTCCCTCGGAGCTGGAAGCTCAGACCTCTGCAGGCCGGTCAGCCTCTCCGCCGCCGCTTCCCCTCTCCCAAGCCTCCCCCCTCCCATCCCCTAATCTTCCACAAACCTCGGGCCCGAGAGAAACTCCTTCCCCTCTTCCACCTGCGCCGATTGCGCAATCCTCCGGCCGCCGCCGCCGGTCCCCTTCTCCTGAAGCGGAACCGGCAGCGCCCTCCTCTCCTCCTCCCAAAAGGCCCCGCCCTCGCTCCTCCGAGCACCCTCAGCCATATGGGTACCCAGAATACCCCTACCACCTTTACCCCCCTCCTCCTCCCTTCCCTCCATACCCTTTCTACTACCCTCCCCACCCTGACCACTATAGAGGTTTTGATGCCTCTCATGGTGAGGACCCTAGATATCCCCAGCCCCCCCGTGCGCCCCCCACGGCCACACTCTCTCACCCTCAAGAACACCAAACTGAGGCCCTAACTCATCCAACAGAACAAGATCCCAACAACCCACCCCTACCAGACTCAGAAACCATTGACATTGAATCCAATGATGATACACCTGCCATTCTAGATACCCAACTCGAACCTGACCCTTCCCCCAAAAATTTGGAGGAATTCAAAAAATTCTCAGCTCTTCTAATAAGACTGACTAGAACCTTGAACTTAGCTACTCCAGAACCTACCGATACGGTAGCTGACCCGTGTTTTACTTCTACTGAACAACAACAACCCTCATCCACTGTGTTGCCCACTCTACCTTACTTATTAAAGATTCTCAAGAATAATGGAGTTGCCCCGGCTTCGGTCCCGGCAACTCCAAAAAGGCCTGAAAACTTATACCGTATTGATCTTTCCTCAGCTTCATGGCTGGCTAAGATGCCCAAAGCAAATTCTGTCGTGACTGATGCTCAACCTAAACCAACTCAAATTAACCAAACCTCTCCCTCTGATAAAGAAGGAAGGAAATTGGATGCTATGGCCAAAAAATTCTACTCCTCAGCATGCCTCTTTGCACGCATGGCTCACTATGGAGTATACATGAGCGTATACCAGACTGCCTTGTGGAACAAAATAGCTCCCTATTTAGACCTATTACCTCCAACCGAACAACCTCTGGCCACAGCTTTTAAACAAGAAGCTCTCCTTTTGGCCTCCCTACAAAAAGACCTCTCCAAAAATATTGCTGACACCGCAGGCAAACTCATTGCAGGATCAGTGGCCCTTCGCCGCCACGCCTGGCTGAGAGCAGCTATCCTTTCTCAATCACAACGCACCCTGATTGAGAATCTCCCCATGGATGAAGCAGGCCTTTTCAATCCTGAAACAGATTCTCAATTGAAATACTCCCATGAAATGAAACAAACAGTATACAAGTATGACCAACAACCATACTCTTACCAGCGCCAGCGATGGGGATCCTACTACTACCGCCCTCAATATTACAATAGGCCCTACAACACCTCATTCTACAGGGGACGACAGAGGCCTTACAACCCCTCCACATCGTCAAGA